CCATAGCTGCCATCTTCTTCGTCAGAGTTACTCTTCGGCACTGAAGACTTCATCGTGATTCATGCTCTCCATCTGGATGGTTGGCACTGGGCTCTGGGAGGCGGATTCAGTGCTGCGCTAATAACTGGGTGCAGGATAGGGAGTGGTGTGTGGTGTTCTGAAAGTGGCGAGATACTGAGATAAACTCTGTAACGATAATTGGAACAATTGGTTTGAGTTGGCTCATCATCAGTGTGATTCCGATTGTTATCCTCGCAGGTGTCTTCTTGTGATTGGTTGTTGGGAGTCTGTCAGAGAGCGAGAACCACTGTGTGTCTTCTCCCCATCTGTGCATGGTTGAATTCCGCTGCTTATCCTTGTCTGTGTGCAGTTTGGACTCTGTCTCCTTTCCCCTTTGTCTGGTATGTGTATGCGCATGTGTCAGACACTCCGTGTGTGAGTGGCGAGAAAATCGTCAAACAACCAAGTTCATAACACAATTCTGAAAGGTCAAGGTCGTAGCTGCTACAGTCCTGAGAGGTCAAAGTCATAGCTGCTACAGTCCTGAAAGGCCAAGTCTACAGACTTCCAGAAGGTGCGGAAGTGGCCTTTCGAGAATTGTTCACGTTAGGCCAGAGGCAAGTGGGCAAGTAGGCAGTCCAGCTTTGTCGAGTCAGTGGTACCCAGTCCCAGTCGCACTTTGTCCAGTCAGCAGGCACTATGTGGGACTGTGTGTACCATGGGCCCGGTGGGAAGGAGCAAACCAGCAACTAACAGAAGTATAAATCAAGAGGCAGCGTCCAGCCATTCATTCATTCTGCGTGAGCCATGCGGAAGCACTGCCCGAGTGTCTTGTGCGAGGTGGTCTGCAGATGCCCGAAGTCGAAGTGGGCTGCAAGGGAAACAGAGCGGCCATCGCCTCTAGTCGTTAGTAGGTGGATGGCGGCCATAGCTGCCATAGGTTAGAGTTGGCCTATAGTGTGTGTGTGTGTGTGTGTGTGTGTGTGTGTGTGTGTGTGTGTGTGTGTGTGTGTGTGTGTGTGTGTGTGTGTG